GTATTCACTGCCTCTGTCTAGAACTACTTGGATAGACCAACATGTAACCTCATGCTTCTGGTATGCTTAGTGATAGTTTTATTCATACGCTCTGCAATACTATTTTGTTGTGGTGGTGTTGGAACAGCGAAATCATGCTTAATCTCATTCAAAGCACAAAACTCTTTGAACTTTTTATCATGATACTCGCCACCATTATCTAATTTGAGACACTTGAGCTTCAACATTTCTCAAGCTCAACTTGGGCCTTTCACTTCTTAAAAGCATCAACACATCTGATTTGTGTTTTAAGAAGTACACCTGTACTTTTTTACTGTGATCATCAATAAATATAACAAAATACAAAGATCCTCGTATTGAAGTAATTGGAGCATGACCCCATGCATTAGCATGTACTAACTCCAACTTCTTAAAATTGACCTTTCAACCAGTATTTGAAAAACTCACCCTGTGTTACTTGGCATATACATAGTCTTCGCAAAATTTTAAATTTATAGATTTTAAACCATGAAGCTTTCCTCTAGTAAGAAGTGAATGCATACCTTTCTTACTCATATGACCAAATCTTCAATGCCAAAGCTATGTAGAACTATATGTGTAGGTTGATGTTTAATTATGAAATTACACGCTTGATGAAGAGTATGAATAATTATTAAAATTCTAACGATTTAAACGAAAGATTGAAAACAATAAAGAGATGATTAGCTTAGGCAATCAATTACATGATACCTATTAGGAGCACAAAATAACCAATTCAAATCAAGTTTTGCATCACGTGGGGGTTTTCGAAGGAAATCTTTAGATTAACATTTAGACTAGTCAATATTAAGATCCCTCACTCACACTCTTAATAATTGGTTAGGCATAGAAAGCTTGCATAATCTTCATGATGCCACAATCGAGGAAGACTTAGAAGGAAGAAGATTCGGGAGAGAGTTCACCTTCGTCCGGATTCGGAAGAGAGTTGCCACTGAACGGGAGGTTGTCGTTGATCAATAGCGACTGCAAGGGAGAAGATGATTCATTCCACATATTCTTTGACGGAGTGGTCGTTCTCAAGATCTATGTCGAAGAATGGAGATCAGAGAATGTTGATTAATCCTTGATCATCAAATACGAAGCCGTGATTATGCTCCGGGTCGGCCATTCATGAGTGGATAGCAAACTAACAAGTTCTGAAAGTTGGACATCAAGTTAACTTGTGCTGGAAACTCTGGACAGCTAGCGGGAAAAGTTCCGGGCAGCAACTAAGAGGGTCTGGACAGCGAAACAATAGGTTTATGCTTGCTGGAATTTTTGGACAGCAAGTTTCGAACGCCTAGGAAATATGGACAGCATCTTGGGAGATCAAATTCCTGGAGTAGAAGCTATTTGGGAAGACAGCATTAGGTGATTGACATGTGTAAGCATGGGGGCCGACGGTTAGGTTGAGTAGGGGATTTAATTGGAGGAATTTAGAAGCTTGCTAAGTATGAAATATTAAATAAGAAAGGAGGAATTATGGCTAAGTATGGATTTAATGATAGGATTTATGGGTTGATAGATTTGGAACTTTAAAATAGGAAGGGATATTTAAATCAATTCTTATTTAAAACTCAAATAGGGCATGAATTGTGGACTTTCCTAAAATAACTTTCTCTATTTTAGGAAATAATTTTCAAATTCAAATTCATTTAAATTTGAATTTAAAGACTTCCAAGTGTGAGAGGGGTTAATTTTGGAAAGTGCTTGAATGCTAAGTTTGAAAATTTGATTCCAAGGGAAGGGGGATAGAGCCGACGGCTAGGGAGTGGATGGGTGACCAGCCGTTGGAGGGGGGACAGCCTAAGGTTTGGGGGTTTGGAGTTCGGCCAAGGAAGAAAGGGGGAAGGGTGGGGTCGCCTTAGGGTTTTTGGGTGTGGCGTTTCGGCCAAGAGAGAGATGGGAGGATGGGGCCGGTAGTTTGGGGAGAAGAGAGGGGAGGAGGTTGGTGGATGAGGTGGACCACGAGCCTGGACGTTTCCTGCAGCTGGTGGGTAGTATGTTGCCCTCACCTAGGGATTTCAAACTCTTACAAGAGATCTCAAACTCACCAAAACACAAGTGCAGGAAATTTTCTTTATCATCATCATCCTCTATAAGGAAGAGAAGGGGGCTATAAATAGCCAAATTATAATAGTAAAACCAAAAGACAAAAGTTTCCCCTGGGGTCACATGAACCTACTTCCTCAAGTGAGGGTAAAATCGAAAAAGATATCATAATAAATCAAATACAAATAATAGCTCAAAAAAATTGGTGTAATCAATCATGGTCATAGATCTCTAGCCTCTTCTCTGGTAAACTCTCCACTGTCGGATGTCCTCATCACAAATACCTCCATTAACATCTAAATTTGTTACTCTAATAGAATTTGTTATAGTATTGATAACATACAGGGTGCCTTTAATACTATCACGAGCTATAACCATAACCCATTTTGTCACCTTCCACGTATATCCTATGAATGATGTTACATGGCTTAAGTTTGCAAGCTTACTCACAGAAAGTAAACTCCTCTTCTGACAAGGAACATGCCTAACATTCTCGAGTCTCTAAATTAACCCATCCAACATTATGATATCAATATCTCCTTGTCTAATAATGTTGCATGGTTTGTTGTCCCCAAGATACACTTTACCCAAATCATTTTTAGTATAGTTTTTAAATGCCTCCTTATTAGTACTTGCATGAAAAGAAGCACATGAATCTATCCCCCAAGATTCAAACTTGTCCAGAGATAAAATCAGAGAGTCTGACTGACATTCTTCTGTAGATACATTTGCGGAATGATTTTTTCTTGACCTTCACCATTGCCCTTCTTCGGAATTGTACTATCCTTCTTCAAGTGACATTTCTTTTCATAGCTCCAACACAACTTTTCCTCTACCTAAAGTAGACTTTCCTCTCTTGGATTTAAATCTCTCAATGCTTGGATTTCTCTCTAAATCCCTTCCTCTTGCTTCAACATTAGAGTATAATTTCAAGATTCACCGTTCGTTCTCCTACGAACCTCTTCATTAAGCACTAACCTTGTAATATCTTCGAAGTTTAGCTTTCAACTTCCTGAAGAGTTACTCATAGCAATAATGCCAACTGAAAAAAATTTACTCATCGCAGTGTTCAGGTTGTTCAAGTGTTCCACCATTGAGGTGTTGTTCAACATCTTTATATTGAATAGCTTATTTATCAAGAACACTTTGTTTGAGGCTGATGACTTCTTATACATCTTAGTTAGTGTGGCCATGAGATTGACTATAGTCCCTTCTCACTTACAATGATGAATGCAATAGATGAGGAAAATGCAAGCCGTATCAAATCTACTGTAGTCCAGCCAAGAACCTATCACTCTGTAGTCATAGAATCTAGCTCTTTGGTGATTTATTCTAACGACAAATACAATTTCTGATACAAAAATTCTTCAATTTGCATCCTCCAGAATGCGAAGTTCGAATCGTTGAACTTTTTTTTAATCTTGTATCTTGTTTCATCCGTCGTTACTACCACTCGAACTAAACAACCTGGCTCTGATACAAGTTGTTGGGGATGAGGAGTAAACACCATAATGATGAAACAAGCAAGAAAGTAAAAGCAACAAAAAAATAAAAGACACCAAGATTTAACGTGGAAAAATTCAAAATATGGAAAAAAAAAATTACGGAGCCACACGATACTAAGAAATTCATTATGAAAACGAGAGAAATAAGCATAAATCTCTCTTCTCTCTCACTCTCATTTCTTCTCTTCTCACATGCACCATTGTCAATGTCTAACCAATCCAAAATATAAGAAAGACAAGTAAATAACCCCAAGGGATGTAATCCTTTAAAAAAATGAGAAAGAAAACCGTCCAGTTCATCTCGCATAGCTGCAGTTTGGGGTGCTGCAGTGCTTAAACCTCTATCTTGATCTGCCATTGCGCCATGTCTTGACCGCTGCGGCGCTCTATCGTTCAACGCTGGGGCGCTCAGGAACACAACGCAGGGCACTCTGGTATACAGTGCTGGGCGTTGTACGAGAAAAAAAAAATTAGGGGTAAACTCTCCAGCAAGCATAACAAACTTGAGGTCCGAGGCAACAAAATAATCCGATTGGTTAACTCAATTAGATTCTACATATTAGAAGGTATAAGAGAATCATGGAACTAAATGCATATCCTAATGCACAGGTCTAAGAATTCATAGAGATCATACAGTCTTGTTGAGGAATCAAAAGAGATCAGGCAAACTTGCCTTAATAGATTTTGACTAAAGAGGACCCTTGCCTTGGTTATGAGGGATACAACTAAAGTACAGTTATCCCAACTAGGGGGCAACGACCTTGAAAGAACTACATTAGATTAACTTGCTCAGTTGAGGCACTTATCTCAAAAGAACTCTGCTAATTAGGGCAGTCATCTCAAGAGAACTTGCCATAAATCGATGGTCACTCACCTATAAGGCAGGAAATGCTCATCCACTTGACAATAACAACTTCAGCAATTCAACCAACGCCATAGCTAGAAAACTTGTATGCTGGAAGAAGTCACTAGAGGCACCAGCCAGCGGTATTCGCTGAAGGCTCTTTAAGGGTACTCATCGAAGGTGTTTCAGGGCCACACTAGAGTCCAGTACATGTGTAACCACCAAAGTTTTGTATATATGTAGTCTTTAAAATTCTATTCATGAGTCTATAACAAACAACTCATACATTATTTTTTTTTTATTTTTTGTATGCAGCCTCTCTTGTAGCCTTCTTAACCTATAAATATAGAGTTGAGATGCATTTATTGGGATTCATGTCAATTATTGTTCACAAAATGGAAATAGAACTTCAGAGCTTTTTTCTTTTCCTCACTTGCCCCTTTTTTGCTCTAAAATATAGCCTAGATAGTTTTGCAACTGGAGTTAAGGTGTTGTTCATGGATAAATTTGGATCTAATGCGTACTTTTTTAGATGCGATGATAATGGATTTCTTTCTGTTAATTGTGTTTTTCTTGCCCAGGTAAGTTCCCAATAGCTTGATGATTATATGGTGCCTTCCTTTTTAACAGGTATGTGTTGAAAATTTGAAGCTTGGCAGAGTCATTTAAGGCAGCAAACATTCTTTTACTTCTATCAAAGAAAAGATTCTCTCACATCTAGATTATTATTTTAGATGCATAAATTAAAATGTTTAGAGGGACAAATTAGATTTTGTCAAAATGTGACATGAGGATATTGTATTTCACTATTATATTTTTTTTGCCTCGTATGTAACTGGTATTATTTGCACGCACTTATAGGCTTCGTTTGGGACGGCTTTCTTATTACTTGTTAAAGCAGCTTTAAGAAGCAGTAAGAAAGCCGTCTCAAGGCTTCATTTGGAACGGCTTTCTTACTGATTTTTAAAACAGTTTTTTAGTACATAAATTTTTAGTTTTTAATAGAAAGCTGCTTTAAGAAGCAAGAAAAAAACCATAGTGTCTATGGAACCATATATTTTGCAGTGCCTATGCGCTGTAACAATAAATTCCCCCAATGACATGGTGTCTATGGAACCATATTATTTCTCGTTGTTTTTTGTTTATTATAGGTAACGATATTGCTCTTAATTATAGGCCAATCAATGGTCGCTTAATTCAATAATTTTTGGAATTTGTATTGGTTCCTTTCTATTCAGATTTTCACCATCAGCAAATTTTCACCATATTTTAGTAGTCTTCAACGATATATGCCTTCGTGGTGTAATTTCTTTTTGCTGGAAGATCTTGTTGGACGTATCTTAAAGTTTCTCTTACTAAAATTCATTGAACACTGCCAAATATTAAGAGTATTAGATTTTGTTTGGGACAGTTTTCTTCCTGTTTTCTAAATAGTTTTTTAATACTAAAAGCTGCTTTAAACAGTAGTAAGGAAGCTGTCCCAAAGAAAGCCTTAGGCTTTGTTTGGGATTTTTTTTTTTACTTTTTAAAGTAGCTTTCTTGTATAAAAAAATTAATTTTTGTATTAAAAAATTACTTTAAGAAGTAATAAAAAAACCGTCCTAAAACCTTACTCTCCATCATTTAGATTCTGTTGAGACACGGGGTTCGCTATTCTAACTATTATATGCCAGTTTAGCTGTGGAGCTGTTTGTTTGTATTTTAAGAATACAATGTAGATAATATAAAGCAAATGCAATGCATTCTTTTTATGTAAAACTGTTTAGTTGATTGTAAAATAAATGGAGTGAAATTATTTATTTGGTTTGTTTGGATGTAGAAAATACCATAAAAACTACTCATGATATTTAGTTTAATTATAAGATTCTAAATTTGGTACTACAAAAAAAAAAAAGAGTAAATAAAGAAAAGTACGAAGAAAGATAAAAATAAAATGGAGAAAAGGGCAAATTATTATGTTCGGTGTTCGGATTCGTCCGGGCATCAATTTAGATGCATCACGTCATTAAAATATATTGGGCTCCAGTGTATTTGGATGATGTGGCGCGTCTGAATTAGATGTCCGGATGTCCGTAAAAATTCGCATAGGAAAAGAGGTGGCTTTGGGTAATAAACAGTTGTTTTCCATCGTGGCAAAACTTTTGTTTTATTGTTTTTCTCTGCCAGAAAAGTACGATTTTAATTTTTTAGGTCTTCTAATCTAAATTTTCACTTACTTTTTAACTTCCCCAAGCAACTAAAATGTCCAAATTTGTTCAAATTAAATGTCCGCTCAACGGTCTAAAGCTAAACTACCTTCACTACTAAGGCTTCGTTTGGGACGGCTTTTTTACTGCTTTCTAAAACAGAGTTTTAGTACAAATTTTTTTATTTTTGTACTAAAACTCCGTTTTAGAATATATAAAGTTTATAATATAGAAAATAAAAAAAATTAAAATATTATGACTTAAACTTAATATATAATATAGTTTAATATTTATCATTCCTGGAGCTCATTTTGCTTTCAGGCGTTCATTTAGTTTCACAAGATAAGGGAGGGTTAAAATTTTTGCCATTTAAATGAACTAAAAAAAGAGCTCAATTATTAAATGAAAAAAAAAAAAAAAAGAGCTCTATGATTTGAACTTATATAACTCATCTGATAGGTATGCTAATGGTTCAGCTAGGCTAAGTTCATGTTGTTGGGATAATTTATAATACGGGAATTTAAAGGTTTGTTTTAGTATTTATTTTTAAAAAAATTAAAATCTTAATTTAAGTTCTTAAAGCCAAGCTTGAACTTTTTTTTTGGGTAAAAGAGCTGCCTTAAGCATCCTTTAACTAAGATACACATATGAAGAAAGCACTCTTATTAAGGTAGGTTCTTGATACTAAGGATAATTACTCCATTGTGCTCAATATTAGATGTAAGAATACAAGGTTTGATATGTTCTTATTTGATTTAAATATTTTATTGAGTTTTGATAAATTTCCTAATGATGAGAAGTTTAAGGCGACGACTAATAATAGAAGGTAAATTGATAATTTCCTAACTTATGACAATACTTTAAAGATCATAGATCTTAAAAATACTTTGATGGAGCGTTCGATTATAGATGATCGATGTACATAAGTTAGGTTTATGAATTGTTATTGATAGAATTTTGTTAAATTACGAGAAAAATAATGTTACTTTTGTAGAGATATTATCATTGGTAAAAGAAGAATATTTTTTTTAGTACACATGGGGATGATTTCATGGGAGAAAATACTAAAGAGGTTAATAAGGGTGTGATACCTATTATGGGGAATGTCTTGATGTTTGTAGGAAAAAAATAGAAAGAATGTTCATCCCATTTCATATTTAGTGGTAATACTAGTAATATAGGGCTTTTGAAGCTATATCAAAATTACTTCTTAGAGAGAAATCCCAAAGGATGATGAGTGGAACAACAATGGAAGTGTTGAGAAGTAATTTTTTTTTTGCCACTATTTTACATTAAATATGTAAGTAAGATTTATGTTACTATAATTTAAATATTAATTCTCACATACTAATATTTTAACTAACCTTATATTACCTTTGTATTTTATTATTTTTATATAGGTGATATTATGTAACTCCAAAGAGAAAGAGGTTGGAGTTAGCACTAGAAGCATATTATAGTTTGAACAATTAGATATATCTACAATCTAAATAAATAATAAGGTGAGCATTCTAATATTATATGTTTATATGCTATCCTTACATGTTTTAATGATTTAATATTATAAATGATCTATCATCAAAAAATTATCTTGATCGGGCACGAATCTCAAGACAAAAATCAAGTTGGAAGCTTCAAAAATTGAATCGGAAGCCAACTGAACTTTGATTTTAGTAAACTTATAGTCGAACTGAAGGTCTCAAAAATACGAAACCAACGACACCAAATTCAACCCAATCTGAACTCCAATGGGTCCAAATCAAAAATCTGAAGCACTTTCAGAAGGTTCAAACCATAATTTGGATTACCAAACGGTTTCTAAACATGACATTGTTATAGTCAAATCAAGTGGCTCGAGGAGACGAATCCAACGAGCATAAGATCGTTGAATTTTGATATCATTATAACATGTAAATGTCCAATAAATAGTCCATGATCAAGGGATTTAACATTGGTCATCCATTTAAACTACTCTCAATTTACCCCTGATCTTCCTTCTATTTACTAGTCATGTCACTCTCAAAAAATTATAAATATTCTCCTCATTTCTCATAGAGAGAGACCCCAAAGGGGGGGCAATCGACCCACGCCAAACTTCTACCCGATCACCAACTAATGCCGGAATTAAGCAAGGAAACAAGAAGAGAAGAGAAGGAAGCAAAGAAGAGATGCAAGAGACTCCTCCTCGACCACCATTGGACTTTCACTCATCAGCTGACCGATGTCAGAATTAAGCAAGGAAGTAAGTAGAGAATGAAGAAAAGGAAGATAAATAAGAGACTCCTCCTCGACCATCATCGGACTTTCACTCGACAGCCAACTGATGCCGAAATTAAGCAAGGAAGGAAGAAGATAAGGAATAAAAGGAAGAGACTCATCGTCGACTACCGCCAGACTTCCACACGACTACCAACTAACGTAAGATTTCTGCCCAGCTACCAACTAATGTTGGACTTCTGCCTGACTGCTAACTAACGTCATATTTTTGCCCGGCTACCAACTAATTTTGGACTTCTGCCAGACCGCCAGCTGATGTCGATTTTTTTGCCCGGCCACCAACTAACACTAAACTTTTGCACGGCTTCCAATTGATGTCGGACCTCCGTCGCCCTCCAAAAACAATCTTTCTAACCACTATCATCTACCGACTACGGCCCTTTCGACTTCCATCGCCAGAAAATGGTCCTTTGACCTCCGTCGCTCGTCGACTACAATCCTTCCTACCTCCATCGACAGAGCGTCTTTACGACCTCCGTCGCCCATTAACTATGATCCTTGCGACCAAACGAATAATTCAACAGTGATTCTTTGTATTCCCACCATGTATTGTACTCAATATGATGTACATAGAGCCAAGGCCTTCCCCCCAAGGAAGGGACTCATTTGTAATCAACTTCAAATACTAGTGGATTCATTCAAACTGGGTTAGGCCCCATGATTTTTCCCCTTTTTAAGGGTTTTTCAAATAAAAATCTTGGTGTCTCTTATTAATACTGCATCCACTCTCTTTTCTGATTGTGTGTTGGATTTTCATACAAAGTTAAGACGTTAAATACTTCTCTGCCGTTGCGAATATTCCATGACACAACAATATACAACATAATTATGCATTACATGTTTTACTAAGAGAACAAATTTGGAGATATCCAACATCATTTGACATTGATGTTATTATTCTGGATGAATTTTTTTTTATCGATATATTAGATGTTATTATCAAGGGTGAAGTATTTGATCAATATATTAGAGATGCGCTTTTGAATTCACAAAACAAGATAAGCGCAAAGATTGCTTCAAGTTGCCTTTATCTATGTTGGAATATGCAAATTTTGTATATTTTTCAATAATTTAGGTTCATTGTATAGTGTGTGAGATTGTATTGTTTACGAAAATGAAATTGTATGTTTCAAACCCCTTTGTAATTATATCACAAATATTAGAGAAGAAAATGAGCTCATTCTATAAAGTTTTACTAAATTATTGGAAAATTTTATAGTATTTACACAAAAAGGATATTCTCACAACACCTTCAACTTGGAAATAGAAGGGGACCAACAAAAACGTGTGTTAATATCTAGCAAAAAATTGATAACATTTTAATCTTGAAATATATCTTGTTACTATAAGTGCGAGACTTTCATAAA